AAACCCCTTCCAACATAAAACATATAAACAATTCCCAAAAATAAAGGTCTTTGATAAAATTTGAAAAGCTATTAAGTGGCTTAAGGATTTAAGTTCATTCTCAAAACAAAAAAAAAAAGAAATTCAGATTTCCAAGTTACTTTTGAAAGTGGGACTCTGACATTTGTGAGAATTTTGTCCTACATTATGTTACATTACTGATCTTCTCATTTCTCCTTCCTTCTTCCCTATTTGTTAACCTTTTTTTTACCTCTTCTCCAGATCTTTCTGTCATCCTTCCAACATCAGCAATGACCTCAAACTCATTACTCGTTCAAATATAATGAGCAGATTAAAAATCTTACATGCAACCTCAAAGAAGAGGCTCCCACCATTGATCCCTCAGCTGTTAGCCAAGATCACAAGTGGTGTTTCAAAGGAAACAGTTTATAAACAGATGATTGTCCTGACCTCCATGCGCATAGCTTGGCTGTGGATAGCAGGACCAGATTCCTTTAAAATTTCTCTTTCCACAGCTAATGCTGTGAAAAATATTTATGATAAATTCTTGCCTCTGGTTCTTCCAGAGCATCTCTGTTTACTTGTCTATTATTCCTTTTGGACAGTGACTCTTTTCACTGCCTTGCACACTGCCTGCACTTACATAGTTTTCTTAAGCTAAGGACAGAAGTAAGAGAAAGAAGAAATGAGGTGGGAGAAAGTAATGGTAAATACAGGAACCTAAATGGTAACCTATATTAATACAGGAATTCATATTTTATTTAGAATATGCAGGCAAAATGTTCGGACACAAGATGATAAAGTGGACTTCTATGCTAAGAAGATGCATTAACTGGGGCGTTCTTCAATAATGCCACAGCTGAGCACTGCAAGCATCAGATTATGCCTTATATATAATATTTATCTATAAAAGCATTAACATCTCAAAGCAACTGGAGAGTTTGAGAGAGAAATAAAGAGCTTCTCATAACAAACAAAACCAACCAGGGGCTTTTAGTAGGTTATACTTGGGTAAAATTGGCTAAGGTGCCTCTACTGGACTCCCATTCATTTATTATGAATACCATAATACCTACCTCAAAACCAGAGGTACAGAAGGGAAGCTCTCCACCCCAGACAGCAGTAACACACAGGGCAGCAGCAGCTGTCATGTTGACAATAGTAGTGGCTAAAAAGGGTGGTCCCTCAGGACTGCTGCTCTGGTTGCCCCTACCCTCTGATCAGTTACACTACTACTAAAATGCTGGGTAGGGAAATGGAATATGGGCTCTTTCACACAGAATGTGCATTTCAATAAAATTCCACATTATTTTGATTTTGAATGTTGTGGCCTACCTCCCAAATTTGTCCTTTTTGTTGAAGTCTGCACCAGTGTTGAGCAGAAGGTTTAGGCACTCCAAATTCCTGTAACAATGCCACACTGCTTGAATAATATATACTTTGCAGTCACAGTGTTTTCCAAAATATCAGAACTGCTGCCTAGGTATTTATCATAACATTTTTACCAAAACAAAACTAAACCGTGATGGAAGAGACACATTTTACATTAAAAATTCCACTTAAAACAAACTTAAAAGTTGTGTCAAAAAACCCCCCAAAAACAAAAAAACTAAAGCCCATAAAGAATCCTAGGTCCAAAGGTAGAAGTTACGCTGATTTCAAAGGCCCTTAACAGTAGTAAGAGTCTAGAGGATTAACCCAAATTCCTACAGAAAAGCCCTCCTAATTTGGAAGAATTGTAAATTAATAAGGAAAAAAAATACTCCATGCCGGAAGTTTGTAGCCAAAATTCAGGTTCGGGCAAGTTTTGTTTCTAAATGCTGTTTGGTTCAGGACCTATTCATATATCTTTCACAAAAAAGAAAGCTTGCAATGCAAACGATGAATTTACCACTGCAATATGAATGTTATTGACAATAGATGTAAAATATTTTTCAGACTGACAAGAGTTATTACTACTGTGGAACAAAGCTTAAAACTGAGGAGGAAAGTCAAATTACATCATGAGTGACTTTTTTTATATTCAAGCCCAGTTTTTTTAACCCTTCTATCACTGTGAAATATGATATGCATATGAAAGCTACTATTTCTTTTAATATACTAAAAAACCTCTCTTGCTTACAAGTTCTTTACACAGGATGTACACGGAACACTGTTAACCTGATTTTTTTTTTTAAAGCAATGTGCACCTGAATATGTACCATGATCTACTCCCCATATTATACCACCCACCTTTACTCAAAGTTCCACTTTATTTTAGATTCTGGTTAATTCACCATTCTAAGGGGAATACAATGCAAATAATGACAAACTATCCAGTAATGACTAATTTTAAGAGTTGATTATGGGGGTGAAGAGAGCGGTGCTGGTAGGAAATTTAAACAGCAGCAAATTAAATCAGTGGTATAGTAACTTGAGTTTACTGTTTATTTTTATATTTGTGTTTTCAAGTAAACTTTTGCAAAAACCAAATGAACTCAAGAATTTTACATGCAGCATACTAATTTTATACGGACTAAATATGTATTTATGAACCTCCTTAAACTTTATTTATATGCATGCTTCATATGCAGTAAGCTTACTCCTATGCTTAACATTAAAGAACATACATTATCTGGTTGCATAATTGGGACCTAAACTTTTTTTCAGAATTGCTTATAGTTCCCATTGACTAGTTAAATTCCATCTTTCTTACCATATGAATAATTTGGATTATAATTCAACTGATTAGCAAGTACTGTTGACCAGTATTTCCTTGCTTCTGGTTAACGTAAATAGTATATTTACTATATATATATATATATATATAT